TCTGATACTGATGCACATCTATGTTGTTGGGTAGGCGTGGTCCATGACCTGCAGTCACACCCTGGGGCCCCTTTCTTTTTATCAGTGCCTGGTCTAGAGCAGCACTTGTCTTGGATCCATTTCACTCCGAAGTGTAAATATTTGTCTGCATATTTGTGTAAAAAATGTTTTGGGATTTGAAAACATTCAGGTGACTGCAGCTAGTATATGAAGGTTGTAGATGTTAGGGGTTTTTCTTCAAGCAGGCAGAAACGTAAGAAGGATCCAGGAGGTGAAGTAGCTGAAACTCCCTAGGGCCAGAAATTTACATTAAAAAGAGGAGAACTAGATACCCTCTGCCTCTTTGCAGACCCTGTCAGGTTTTGAGCTGGAAATACTGCATACCTATATAGTGCATGTAAGGGAAATATACATTAGGGAAGTCTGGACTGCATGATGCATGAGAAGAGGCTGAGGGAAATCGATTCATTCAACTTCCAGAAGAGAAGTGAAGGAGAGATGACATTACAGGGTTCCCCTTCTTTTTGGGAGGGCAGAGGAGATAGAGCCAGACTCTTCTTCAGACCACTTCAGAGTGGTCAAGCATTGGAACAGGTTGCCCAGGGAAGTTAAGGAATTTCCATCCTTGGAGGTGCTCGATGTGGACTGGAAAGGGCCTTGAGTAACCTGAGCTAGTCTGAGCTACTGCAAGTGAAATGTTGGACTAGGTGAATTGCCAAAGTCCCCTCCAATTGAAATTATTCTGTGAATCTGTAGCTGTTACTTAGCAGGCATGCGTGGTGCTGGGATTGACAGGTGCATTACTGTTCTGTTAGGTGAGACGGCAGGTAAGGCTTAGTGAAAGGAGAGTCTTTAGAAATGCCAATTAATTTATACAGCTTCCTTAAACTTTACCATTTGTCTGTGTGGTGGTTTTGAGAGGCTCTATAAGCTGTCTCATCTCTTTTCTTTTAGCTTCATGATGTATGATTTTCCTCTGTCTGCCATTAATGCTATACATGAGTGCATCTGTGTTGAGATTGATACCTCAAAATTGAACCTTACTTCAACAACAGTCATTAAAAAGACTGAACTGGATATCACTGGTGCACGTGCTGAGCACAGTCGGACACAGGCTTCAGAAGCTAGACTCAGAGGTCTTGCCATAGGAGGGCCTTGGAAATATAGTGCAAATGAGGATATCTTAAATATTCTGTTCTAATTATATTTTCATGCTTATAAAGATTAGGAGGGAAAAAAAAAAAGAAAAAGAACAAACATAACTTTCTTTTACTAAGAGATTAATGAGGACATGTGGGAATGGACATCTACACACTGCTGTCTTCAAATGCACAGCATGCTGTGATGCATAATATTTCTAAAAACGGGAGAAGTACTGAGATGTTCAGATTGACATTTCAGAGCCTGTCTGGTTTCAGTGTCTGTCTGAAATATAGGGTTCAATAATCCTATTATGTGTGTCTGGCACACTCCTCCTTCTTTAGCAATGTGCCTCCTATAACTGCTATAATGAGACAGAGCAGCCAAAGTCTAATTCTGTGTGTGCCTCATCCTATCACTCAGCAAAGTTATATCGTCATCAGATGCAATCTATTGTTTTCTTTCCTGCTGTGTGCTATTGATTTTTCTAACCTTTCTTAATGTTACATTTGCTTGGCTTTTTAACTTTCTTACCAAAGGTTAATGTTATTAAGTTGAGCAGATTCTATAAAACTACAACCATTATTGCCTATCTTGCAATTACTATAGGGTCCTTTCATTAAACCCTGGCTGCATCAGAAAGCTTTGTCTTGAAGATGTTCGTCATCTGTGAATATGGTGAAGGTTGACAAGAACTGCACCTGACCTGTCACCCAGTTTTGTGGTATACAATATTAGATTTTTTTTATGTCAGGTTTAGCAGATTTACCAAAAACTCTCACCATCAGTGAAGGTGAACTGAGCATTCGTTCACTCCAGCAGGGTCAGAGAGAGGATACAGGCAGAGTGCTGCCGCCTGTCCTCCCTTGAGTCTGACTATGCCAGTCTCTCTGCTGTTGTGGCAAAGGGAGCAGATCTAAAATCTCGTCAGCTCCCAAACTGCTTGTCTGTTTGATGTGGAAAGAAAATGAAGAATCACAGTTTAATTTGAAGGAATTGATGGCTTTACTGGTGGCACTCTGTCAACATTTTTTCAGTGTGATCTACAGTAGTACTTGTATAAAGTGTCAAACGTGCAGACGGTGAGTGAACAGTTTTAGGATACCACTGCTGAACTGTTTCATTTTTAGCTACTGCTGTCACAGCACCATCTTGGTATCAATACCATGGGTACAGCAACCTGCATTTATGATAAATAGTGCATTTGACATCCCACTTACAAGTTTAGAAAATCACATTTCTGTGATTGTGTTTTCAAGGCCTTCTATATGTGGAAAACACCCTGGCAGGGCTGAAGGTGGAATGTCCATGTGTGGTACTTCACAGCTTTCTTCTGGAGCTGTGGCAAATGACCTATAGTGCCTTCCAGCCACTATGTTAAAGTCATCTTGTTTTGGAAGTGACATGTAGCTGCTACAAAGAACTTATCAAAGAACATCCTGAGAATCTAGGCAAGAACTAACTTCAAGTGAAATGTTTTTAAACAGAAGAGAAGCTTTTAATCCCAGAGAAGTTGTGGATGCCCCACCAGGATGCCCTGGTATTCAAGACCAGGCTGGATGAGGCCTAGGCTGGACAAAGCCCAAGCTGGACGAGGCCCAAGGCAACCTGGGTGGCATCCCTGTCCATGGCAAAGGGGGTGGGAACCAGGTGATCTTTAAGGTCCCTTCCAACCCACGCCATTCTATGATTCTATGAATTTAAGCTGTTGTACATCATCCCTTTAAAAACACAGGATGTTGAGTAAGTTTTCTCTTGCCTGGGTGGAAAGCAGAATTGCAGTGTAGCTGCAGCTGCCAAGAAGTGACTGTCTAAGGAGGATATCAGGCTTGTTAGTGAGTGCCGGAAGGAGTATTTCAGAAGTTCTGGGGGCAGGTTGGGGTTAAATCTATTATTTATAAATCAGTACCTATAAGCCACTTCTGCCAGCACCGGGGAGCCAAGGAGTGGTCCTGGCAAAAGATAAAAGACTTCCTCCTCTACTGCTAATTTAGGAGCTGGTAACTCATGTTCCCCTCTTCTCCCATGCCATGCAGTAGCTATCCCCGCAGTTGATTTTGTCTGCATCTGTCACGTTCCTGTGCTGTTCAAAAGCTGGTTGTGCAAGACCGGGGATGTTCTGTCTGTTTATAGCTGCTCACAGCTCGGTCTCTCTTGCCACTGTCACTGCCAATAACGAGCCCGCCTGAGAGCAGCCTGTTTTTAGTGGATGACATGTCTTTTCATTTAGAGTGGGCTTTGATTAACAAATTCACTTCAGAAGTTTTCAGGTCCAACTGCATGGGCCAGAACATCCCTATACCTTTCTTAGGCTTCCTGAGTGTCTCTGGCTGGCCCTGCACAACTCCCAAATTGATTGCAGTCCCCAGTTGGCTTGCGGCCTTTTTCCCCCTGCCAATTTGGTGTTTTGGCCATTCCTGGTGAAGAGTGGGAACATGGCAGCTCTTCAAATTGTTTGAAACTTAGCACTGAATTCAGATTCCAGTTGCATTTTCCCTAGTCTCTTTGTGGCGGTAGCAACGTTGCTTCTGCAAAGGGACGTCTATGGTGACATCTGCTAATGCATCTAAAGCATGCTTCACTTCAACAGGCCTACCTGAGAAGGCATTTAGAGCAACACGGGGTATCAGAAAGTTTCTGCTTTACTTTTGACCATTTTTCCTTTTAGAAGATTTTGAGGAAGGAAGAAAGAAAAGTAAGGGGTATAATAAAAAGCATGCCATTATCTCCTCCTCGTTTCTTTCACTTCATCCAGATCCCCTACTGCATGACAGTTTTGTTGGGTTTTATATGTGTTCTGGCTGTGTGGGGAAGCATTTCAGTGATAGCATATGTCCTTCTACTGGAGACTCATTATTTTATTGTGTGCAATCCACCAAACTCTCTGTGTGCTGATCTGGGCAATTTTGTCCTCTATATCTTTATTTTTAGCACTGAGGTAAAAGCAGCTTAAAAGTTCAATTTTTTTTCCTAATGTAACAAAATAATGTACTTTATATACACGGGCACACATGCAAAGATTCTGTATTCTGAATGTTTTTCTCTTATCAGTTGTTATGGTGTATAGAGAAACATAAAAACTGTCAGGTAAAGAAAAAGCTAGGAGGCTTTTAAGGGGACCTTGAAGTGGTAGGAGAGGGAACCTCTAAATCCAGCATGTATGGTTCTTATTTTAATTTATGAAGCTGTATGGGTATTTGGTATCTTTGAAGCCCCTTTGAGTGGTGACTTTATGTGGTAGATACATTTCATTTTTCCTTACTCAGCTCTTCATCAGAGGCTCAGGAGTTGCTTTAGCACTCAAGAAGTCTGAACTTCTGCTCTTCTCCACTTGAACATGTTCTCATCTATGTTAGCCCACTGCAAGGAGATTGTTGTGATATTACTGCAAATTAACAACTTCAGTGGTTCTGGGAAACTTGAAAATTTTGTATACATACGTTTATACACATTTCAATATATGTAGCAGAAATGTAGTAACTGTAGTACCAGAGCGGGAGATCATTTTCCTGGAATTTGATCCTGGAAGTTCTTTATGACCCAGAGCTCACCACACCAGAATTTGTCCAGCCGGCAGAATATCGTAGAACATGCTTATCCAAACTCATTAATATACTCAATAGGTTTGGAATATCTGTTCCTGTGCCTAGCAAAGAGCTGGTTTATAATTTGTTCAGCTGGGACCTAGCTGGGTCTTTGGGCTCTGTAAGGGTATAGTCTTTTACTTGATTCTTCTATCTCCATGCAGAGACTTTAGGAATTGTTAAGTGCAATTAATTTCATAAAAGAGAGCATTAATTCTCAAAACTGAAAGTTGTGTTAATTTTATTTTTCTCTCTCTTTTGCTGCTTCTTCACTAGGGATGTGAGTTAATAGAGACCATGGATCAAGATTTCACAGACTTCACCAAGTGCCTTCAGATTCTCCAGAAAAAGATAGAGGAAAAGAGCCTGCAGGTAAAGGCACAACATCTACGTCCCTGCTTGTTAATAATTACTCTTCCTCTCCACATACTTAGGTTTATGTTTTAAGTTTGCACTGAAATGAAGTATTATCTTCTGTAGCCTTGCCATTCTGAGGTTTTGCCATGTTTACTGCACACCTTGTAAGCATCAATGCTTCTGCTAAAAGAAATTACCCAGTGTGTCAACAAATAAGCGTTGGCTTTCTTAAAAGGCAGCTTGTATTGATTTCTGTTAATGAACAACCCAAAATGCAGAAGAGCTGTTGTGGCTGGTGTTCAAAGCAGGAGTCCCGCTTTGGCATGTAAATATGTTTTCAAGTCTTGGCATACTGAGCCTTGATGTTCATATCTCCTTCTTCTCTCCTCCCAAAGGTGAGATGGAAGGGGGAATCTTATCCTGCCAACATTACATATGGTGAGCAATATCTCCTTCTGCAAAGGTTCCCCTGAAATCAAATGGAACCTTTGCAGAGCAAGAAGTGCGCTAAACTTAAAAAGAACCATATGGAGTTGTCAGCTGCTCCTTTCATTGGAAAGGCAAAGGAGGCACTGTGCCCCCTCCTCTTCCATAGTTTGTTTCATAGGCCCTCGTTTCATCTCTCCGAGATGCAAAGTTAAAATTTGTCAGGAACTTCAACATGATGAGTTGATGGCAGATGTGCTCTTGGGATTGCTGTTCTTTTCTCCCCATGGAGCATTCCTTCTTAAGGGCTGAGCTCTCCTCTCTGCTCTCAAACTCTGGGTGAAAAGAGCTGAGAGGAAACAGCTGTTACATCCTCTTACCAATAGTGAGGGCAAGAGGCTTATAAGAAAATGAAAGCAACAGCACACAAGATGGAAGGATGTTGCAAACCTCCTCCTTTCCCATTTTTATTGTAGCAGGATAGGAAAGTTCACTGACTTCCTGAAATCACTTGTTCTCCAACCAAGGCAGCAAGAGATGGAAATGCCAATACCACTCCCTCTTTCTTCTCTCCTCATTCCAGGCTGATACATAATTACCCAGTTTTTGCTGGTTGTTTTGAAATGCCTTAGTCTTCTGAAGGAAGTGTATGTCTGTGTGACACTTCAGAGTGCTGTTGCACAGTGCCCAGTACATGCTGTTGTTCATTAGTTGTTGTTTTTTTCCCCATCAGTGTAGACAGAGATAGAGTTCCTCATGCACCTCTCACCTGTCAGTATGTGAGCCAGGAAGCTCTTTGGTACTTCATTTTTTTTATTAATTAATTTTATGCATTTATCATCAAAAAAGCACACCGAGGTGTCTTGCCACCTAGAACATGAATGATAAGGAGTGTGATCGGAACTGATGAGCCACCTACACCTAGGACTTGTTTTGACTTTGACAAGTAAGGTGCTTCCCTCTTAATGTAACTACCCTTAGACTGAAGAAGAACCTGAATGTTTCCTGGATTCAGTTCATTATCAAATCTCAGCTACAGAGGCATTTTTTAAGCTATCAGAAGAGGTTTTATAATGAATAATCAATGTGTGGTTAAAATAAGAGCGGTGAGAACATGACAGCTTACAGATACGTTTCAACAGTAAGTAGTCTATTTGTAAACTTGGAATTCTTTGATCGCTCTACTAGGTAAAACTCTGTTAAGTTAGTTAAAGGATATTGCGCTATAATCCTCTGTGATGTTTTGTAAAGTGCAAGCCAGAGTGTAATTGCAGTAATTGTGTAGAGTTCACGCCAACGCACTAAACCTAAGACTTCATTTTAGTTACACTGTCATGCTGTTATACTTAAGACGTAGTTGAGACCAGCTTTAAATGCAGTTTTTCAGAGGTGCAAGAAGTAAATCAGACGCGTTATCTGTAAACTAATTACTACATTCCTTAAATGCTAGCTGCTTTTTTTTCTTTTGCGGTGTCTGTTCCATGAAGTATAAGAAGATGCCATCAGCTAATTCATACTCACTAACTAAAGCATACATTTCTATTTTTGTTTTTCTGCATTTTCTGACATAAGGGGCTTCAGGAAGTCATTGATTCAACTTAAGCAACTAATATGCGAAGCTTAAGCAAAAAGAACACAAAACTGTATCACAACTGTATAAAGTAGAAGGGTTCAAATTTTCCCTATGATCAGAAGTATTAAGTACACTTCATTAGTAGGAGGGTTGGTGATACTTTTGGATGTGCTGATGATGCAGTGCTTAGTTTGATGCCCGGTTCCCCAATAACAGAGTTTCTGCGCATTTGCAACATTTATTGGCCTCACTTAATGGATGCAACCACTTGGCTTCTCTGAAACTCCAGCCCCTATAAATACCTAAAATTGCACTTAATTTAGGCATCTTTATGGGAAACATTTTGCCATGAAAATGTCAAGTGATAAGGAAACAGACTGTTCTAGCCATAGATCTAAAACCTTTGAGGAGAATGCAGGTAACTTCAGAGAAGAAAGCTGTCACTGAATTCTGCATTCACTCAGAAAGTACACAAATCTGAGAAGAAAGGTCCAGTGCCTAAAAGTGGAAAGAGTTGTTCACCTGCATTTGCATTTTTAGCCTGAAGTACAAACTTGCATGTCATAGTATGGATTTTTTTTCTCCTTCAGGAAAGACTATCATAAAAGCTTTCCTTTTAACTGAGAATATTAACTGGGTAAAATATGTTTTTCTGGTTCCAGGTGAACAAAGATATATCTCCAGCTTTGACTTTTACTGATTCTGGCTGGCTTAACCAGAGTACATGTCAAAGAGGCACTATAAGTCTGTTTCCCAATGATTTATAGTTGAAATTACTGAACAAGGAAAGTCTATTTTTAGTAGATAAAAACAAATAATAATAATAATTTACAGTCATGCTATGTGTGTGGCTGTTCTTTCTGGGTAGGAATATGCTAAATTAGGAAATTAAATTCAGTGTATAGCCTGGATCCAAAATCTTGTGACATAGTTTGTCTGGATAAAATTCAACTGTGAGATGTTGAAGTATTTGAAACAGATGTTCTTCAGTTGGTTAGAGAATAAGTTATCATTTATCTGCTGCACTGGATGGATAACATTTCTACTCTGATCTGTCACTTCTACGAAAGTTCTATGTGAACGAGACTTTTGAGCTCTCGGGAGCTTACGGGGGCAATATTTTGTTCCAAAGGAATTCAGTTTTGGTAGTTTGTTTTCCATTTCCACACTTCTGTCCTCCTCCTCCTCTACTTTCCCACTCTCCCAGATTGCTTGTGAACAAATAACTTTTGAACAGAGGAATGGAGTCCTGAAAGGTAATCATGTCATACAGCTTTCTTGCCTGCGGCCACCTGAGTGACAGACACAGTGAGACAGATGCCCAGTGCCCCCACGGAAGAGAAGGCTGCAGAGTCGGTTTAGATTTAACTGGTTGTTGGAGAATTCAGTTTGGAAAGAGGGCTTAGGAATGCCTTTACCACAATGAAGGGTACAGCTGGAGTTAACAGCCTACTGAGGCAGATCTGGGAGAAAAAACACCTTGTTAGTTCTTGAATTGCTTGTTTGATACAAAGAGCAGTAATTCTGTCATATGGTATAATTTTCTGAGTTCATTATTACTTTTCCCTTTTCTCAAAGAAAAACTCTAAGAAAGTTTCTGAATCCTCAGGGTCAATCATTTCTGGTTTACATTGTGTAATGCAATATCATAATTGGCTTGCTTAGCCAAGTCATTCAGGAAGCAGTATTGGGGTCATTTTGTGATATCTGAGTCATCTAATTGTGTATATTTATAATCACATACTGCAGTGAACGTTAGGACAAGCAGTACCAAGCCATATAGACCTAGTTAGAACTGGTCTTAATTTTCCCTCTCCACAACCCTAATTCATTTGTGAATTGAATTGTGTTGGATGGGTGAAGCAGTGAAGTACCACCAACAGAATCTGAAGACTCCTGAAGTTTCTTTGCAACCTAAAGGCTGTTAAAAATCTCTTTCTGCATGACTGTGTGTATGCATGTGTACACAGATTTGCATGTATGTTTATATATACCCACAACTTTTCTGTCAGTATACCTTCCTATCCCTATGTGATTTTTTTTAATGTCTTAGTAGCTCTGTCTTTATTTCTGACATTTGTTTCTTTTACCTTGTTAATGGTCTATTCAACTTTACATGTCCATATTTTGTTTTACTGCTTTAATCACTTTTTGTTCTATAGTTATGTGAGTACTTTTGTTTTCTCATTACAAGACCTTCAAGTACGCTTATTTTCAGTAATTTCTGTCTGATACAATTTGCTGGTCTTAACTTTCTCTTATGTAACATAAGCTATTTCAAGAAACCATCTGAGCTAGCAGAAATGGTAGACTTGCTTACAGTATCTTTTTTTGAGATCAGCAGATCTTACATTAAAAGTGAACATCGTTATCTCCATCTTGCAGATCAAAAAGCAGATGTACAGAAGCGACTTGTCCATGGTCTCCCAATATGATAGTGGTCCAGCTGGGGATGATCCTTCAGCTCCTGGTCTTTATCATGCCCTCTTTCCATAACACTCTCCCTGGTCTCACTCACAGGCAGCTCACAGCAGCACACTCCAGTAGGATATGGAAGTGTATTTATCAATTATGCAGCTCCAAGGAGAATCTGCATAATGTAATGATAGATTTAAGCCATTATCTTTATCTCAGAGTTGCAAATTCTGTGTTCTTTAACTGTTTCATCTAAAATACCGTTTAGTCTTAAAGCTAAGCTCCAGGACTTTTCATTTAGCTTTATTATCTTTTCTGTTTAAAAGTTAAAGCACCTCATTTGCTTACATGAGCTGAAGATATAAAAAATTGATTTTATTGAAAACTAAATGCCTTTTAGTGTTTTTTTATTAGTGTGTTTCAATTGATAAAAAAAGCATTAGTGTCAATATGAAAAGGTGAAAAAATCCAAAGCAACTCTTCTCAAAAACTCATTGCAGTAAAGGGATACTATACTAACATTTCCATTTTAAAATTGCAATTTAAAGGCTCATTCTATCAGCAGCCTATGGTATTACTTCTTATATGTGAATACAAGCAT